GATGTGAGAGCCTGGTCCGGTGAGAACCCGGCGTGCTCCGTCCCGGCTTTGTAGGGATGCGAGGTCAATGGTCTAACGAAAACGGCATGCACGACTATGAGTACCCCCCCCCCCCCTCCCCCACCGTTCGCCACGCCCGGAATGGGATTCTCACTACGGCCCCCTCTAATATCGCCAACAAATGCTTGGCGCCAAATGCTTGGACCTGTCGACGTGGGTTGCCAAGTCCAGGCAGACATGTCAACCGAGCAACGAGGATGTTGTGACCCCAGGACTTTTGTTGCTGTCACGCGTGGAAGGTCTGCAAATGCATACTAGACTACAGCAGTAGTATATAGACTAGTGATGATGAAAAAATATGCCTTACACTCTATGGGAACAACCGAGGTCTTGACAACAACTTAACTCTATTTTAGGTTCTGTTTTTTAAGTTCGTCAAACACCAGAATCGTCCGCGTTCATTTCAACTACTGTTGCATCTTCATGCCACCACCGGTCGTGTTATTGACCGGGTCAGAGAATCAGGGCTGAGGGTAGGTGGTTTCTTACGACATGCAACAGACACAGGCCCACGTATACAGTGTACAGGTACCACCCAACACGGAACATTTTGCACTCTTTCAACAATCGGTAAACCAGTGGTTCACGCAGGAGAATATGAGCGACTATTATTGTGGACCCTCACATTGCATACGCAAGTTGCCGTCGCAACTGCCGATTGCACAAGCAAGTGTGCGTGGCGTGAGGAGCGCTGCGGTGACTACTGCTGTGTGTGCTCGAAAGTGTGCTCGAAATTCAAATTTTAATTTTTGTACTGCTGTTGGAAGGCTCTTGGCAGCAGGGGCACGACGGACCGCTGTTGCATTTGCTGTGAAAGAAACGCTGACTAACCCATAGGACAGCCAGACCTCATGTGCACACTCTCGACGGCAGCGCGACTGCTAACATCAACAGACTAGGTGTTCGCTGTTGTGGCTAGGCGTGTGGCGCGCACCGTCATGTGCAAGCGATCGTCGTGAATTTCGGGGAATTGATGACGANACGACGGACCGCTGTTGCATTTGCTGTGAAAGAAACGCTGACTAACCCATAGGACAGCCAGACCTCATGTGCACACTCTCGACGGCAGCGCGACTGCTAACATCAACAGACTAGGTGTTCGCTGTTGTGGCTAGGCGTGTGGCGCGCACCGTCATGTGCAAGCGATCGTCGTGAATTTCGGGGAATTGATGACGATACCTCTTGACCAATAACTACGATACTCATGCGTGAGGTGATATTCGAAAGGAACTTGTGCACAGAACCCTAACAAGTCACTCACGCACCTCTGCTGCAGTCAATAGAGCGCTGGCTGGCCGTGTGACGGCGCCGTCGCGGGTTGAACAATGCAGCAGAAAAAAGCAAAAACAGCCTGTGTTCGAAATCCTGGAACCATGCAACGGACCTAAATGCAGTTGGGTTACCCGATGGGGAGAACTAAAATTGACAGGGAAAGGGGTGTGAGTATCGCCTATGTGTGGGCAATCCATAGATGATGTGCACGATTTGGGATCAGCACTACAGCGAGAGTTGTAGCAGAATAACGCAAAAATCTGCGCGGAGAGACTGCTTGCGGATGTGATTCCAGGATTTTTGATTTGTGCAAAAATAAAACGGGAATTTTTCCATAGGCGCCACGTGTGGAGCCGCGCAGTAGGGGGCCGCATTTACAGCAGCAGCGATAGACCGCTGCCCCCCTGTGATGGACGACAAGGCAGAAAAATTCAAGGGTCAGGAGGATGGCAGCAAGGACTCGCCTGAAGTGCTACGTTCCAGCTTATTCGAGCCGAAGTCGGTGGCGCAGATGCAGGAGGAATACAGGATTTCTCAGCCATACCGTCACTTGGTCATCCCTGATCTCATGGACAGCGATGTTCTCAAGACAGCTTGCGAAGAACTCAAGAGCAACATGCAGGCCACGCTGAAGGAAACCGACATTTTTAAGGTCGGTTGTTGGTGGGAGGGTTTTATTTCCTTTCTAGACTCCCCGCGGATGCCTACGGAAGTGTAAAACTTTCCGAGTGCGGAAGCCCAGAGGTGTCGACACCACTGCTGTAACTCCGTACCTTGGTTCAGACTTGAGAGCCGAACTTGATTTTTCAAACTGGGCCCCAGTGTAACCCTCAAGGTGGAATTCTGTACTCCGTGTGTACGTACCACAGAAGAACAAACACGATGCAATGGCACACCTGCGGTTTCGGCGAGGGTAGAAGTCGTGGCACTCCGCTACATTTGTGTCCTCTCTCCGCGGTACCTGCCCAGTTCAAACAGAGGTGCGGCTGATTACTTGCAAGTGTGCAATATGCATACACACTCGGACGAAGCAGTGGAAGTGCAAGGATCATTGGAACCAGCCCACATGTAACAGTCCGTACATGTAGTTTGGAGGGGCATGTTCCAAACATGAACGGCCACCCGCCTCGTTGAAAAACCAGCGCCCACTGCTTCAAGATCGCTTCGAATTCGAAATCGCATGTGTAGTAGGGATTATTGTTTCTAGGACGCTGCTGTGGCAGAACACGGAGCCGGAAGGTCGTGAGGCATCGCCGCCAAGCCTGTGACCTGCATGCAACTCGTTGTGTGCCACCCGTACGTAGACACACATCGGCCGCCCACGGATACACCACACACACCGCTGCCGCCACCGCGTGCAGGTATACCAAACGGGCGATCTTGCCAACATGGATGGTCTTCCGGAGGACTCGAAACGCCTCCTTCCGTCCCTATTCGCGATAAGGGACGGTCTCTACTCGCTCGAGTTCCGCCGGCTGGTGCAATCCCTGACGGGATCCGGGCCCTTGAGCGGGCAGCAGATCGACCTGTCCGCCAACGCTTTCGGCCACACCGGACACCTGCTGTGCCACGATGATGTGATCGGCACCAGGAAGGCATGTGTTTGTCCGCTTTTGCGCGGGAGGGGGTGCGGGGATAGCGGCGACGAGTTTATTGTTGCCTTGAATTCGGAAAGAAAGGTCACGGCGCTTCATGTGTCTGGAATTTATTTTCCAGCAGGACAAAAAGTTTTGGGCTACATGTACCTGCTTCTTCTGATTGTCGGTCGATTCGCTGCATGACCGTTCGAGAGGGTGCGCATCTATACAGTAACGGCTACGGTTTGACATAAAATGTTCAACAGAAAATCCGGGTCTAATAACGGAGGTGAACTGGCTTGGCACGGCCAAAAACGGTTAACAGAAAAATTGTCTTCTTTCTGAGTTTTCCTGTTAAATCACGCTTCTGGAGGCCGCGCCACGTACAGGAGTGGTTCGTCCAGTGGGTGATTGGGTGGATTTTCTCTTGAATGCTGGAGCATCCGTGGGCTTGTGTTGTAGTTCCGCGCGAGCTGCGAGTGGCAACGCATCTATGACAAGGCAATAACACTACAGAGGTCTGACGCGTGACCTGTTTCCCAGCACTTCCTACTATGAGCGCGATTTAGTTTCTAACACTTTTTACCAAGAGCGTACAACTGGTCCATATTGCTCGCCAACCAACAGATAAAGCGGTGTGTGGAGCTAGCCCAAGGGGCGGACGCTCCCTTCGTTATGTGACATGAATGATACGTTCTCCATCAACTCTTACGGCACATACTGCTGTTGTTGGGACGACTGGGTCCATGTTTCACGGCGTTTCGTTTTGGCTACGGTATAACATAATGTTATGTTAAACCGTAGCCAAAACGGTTAATCAGAAGTGCCGATTTAACAGAGGGATTTTGGCTTGTCACGACCCTATGTTAAACCGTGGCCGCTCCTGTAGTTTGTTTTGCGCTCTCTGCTCAATTGGAAAGCGGCTCTGGCGATTTCCACGACAACAACCGCTCCCTCATATCTGGACCGTCCCTGCACACAATCTACTCCGCATCTCCTGCCCGAATGTTGGGACAGCACCAGAACGTAAACTCGTCGCTCCTCCTGTATCCCGTGCTCCAGATTTCTTACATCCTCTACCTCGTGGACGAAGATTGGGGGTCTTCGGGAGACAAGCCCGACGGCGGAGGCCTCCAGCTGTACCCTCTGGACAAGGAGGGGGTGCCCGGGATCCCCGCCTTTGCGCCGAGCAAGACCATACCACCGAGATGGAACCAGATGGTTCTCTTCGCCGTACAGCCCGGGAGGAGCTTCCACGACGTGCAGGAGGTGATTTGAAACGGGAGAGACTCCCGGTAGGCTGGCCGTGTGATTGGTTTTGCTCGTGCGGCGTTTGGTGTTTTTCCACGCGTTTCGTCCGTTTGGAGACCGGGGCGACGCCCTTCTCTCTCTGTATCTTTCTCTCTCTCTCTCTCTCTCTCTCTCTCTCTCTCTCTCTCTCCCGGGGCCGCCTTTCCCCTCCCCACACAATTCCCCTGTTCTCGCAACCCCCTCACCCTGCAATACATGTTCACTCGTGACAGGTGTACAACGAGAACAAGCCCCGCCTCGCTGTATCCGGCTGGTTTCACAGTGCTCTCAAGACTGAGATGGCCGATTGGCCGGGACACACTTTCGAGCCCGTAAAGGGCAACAGCGACGCCGAAGGCAATAGCGGGGAGGCGGCGGCGTCAACGCTGGAGCAGCTCAAGGGCGCGGCACGGGGGGGGGGGCAGAGCGGCGATGGTGGGAAGGGCGGGGATGGTGGTTCATCGACGGGCGACGCCTTCACGGATGATTTCGTGGGAACAGATGTGAGTTGAGGTGGTCGGAGGTTTGGGCGTTTTGGAAGGGGGGAGGCATCGGCAGCGCGGAAGGAATCGGGCAGTTGTATTGGTACCGACACGCGACGGAGATATTAGTTGTCGAAGGAGTACTCCCTGGTCTTGGGTATAGAGCCCTTGTTCAGCCAGGAAGGTTTTATACAACGCACACAGCAAGTGTCCTAGGCCAAACACGGATACTAGGGCGTGAGACAACATGCCGACAGTACAAGGCTGTTTGGTGGCTTCCGCCGCGACGCTGAGAGAAGCGTTCCGCAAGAAGATTGTTATCGGCGTTCGTTGTTATTGGATGGCCGGCTCTTGTTGGTGTGCTTTCCATTGCGCATACTTGCGCGCGGTAGTCTGTTGCGACACCGAAGTGGTGCGAAGGGATGCGTCCCGCGCGGAGTTCACAAATTCGGCACGCGCACAGGCGAACTTAAAAAAAAAAAATGCGAAAAGGAGCACGAAGAAACCATGTAAACGAACGGCCCTAGGTTCGGAGATGAGGGGCTCACTGAATGAATGAGAAGGAAACTTCGGAGTCCTCAATGATGTGAAAAATACGCTCGAACTGCATCGCACGGAGTAGTACTACAGTACATACGGACCTTAACGACTTGCATCTGCTCCCTCCTGGAGTGCTCAGCAAGCAGCAACCGCTTTCTCTCTCGCCTGGACCATATTTAGTCGCGTACATGAGAGACCCCAGGAAGTGAGATGAACGTGAACGTGTGCATTATTGAACATGCGAAAGTCCGACGTGTCAGGGAGCAAACTACTGGCGTGAGAGCGCCGAAAGAAAGAGAGACTGGCCTAAAACCCTGTGAGAGACGCAGTTAAAAGAGATCTTGTATGCGTGGTGGATGGGGAGCAGAGGAACGCGCCAAAAGGTTCCTCGAGCGAGCGAGAAAAAGCGGGAAGACGGGAATGATGAAGGCGAAAACGAAAATTGGAATAACAATATACTGCTGTGGGACATGTGAGAGGGAGAGACAAGCTGCTGTTGTTGTAAGAAACGACGACAAACTGGTATTTGAGAGGGAAGAGAGAGACTGACACGAAAAAATGTGACATGTGTGAAAGGGAGAAAGGTTCCGTGCGATCGAGCCGGATGTGATGAACGAGCCAGACACAACGATGAGACATGAGAGAGAAACGGTGAGCGGAAAACAACAGCGAGCTCTCAAGATATGGAACAGATGGAAATGAGAACATGGAGCCCTGTGAGAGCACGAGAAGACCCGAAATAGAACCCTCTCAGCGTAGATCCAGACAGATAAAGCGGGAAGCGACAGAGCGTCAGATGTCGTGCCTCGTGTGATCGGAGAGCCTCAAATATATGTGTGCAGGGGCGGACAGAGCGACAGACGTCATGTGATCGGATAGCCGGAAGGACGGGACCATCCATTCAGTCTATCTTGAAGTATCTTGAAGAGATCGGACTAAATGTGCATGCTGCCTGTGTTTGCTCCGGAGCCCCCTGCTTGGAGATATTGGAAGAATTTGCGCACCAGCTTCAAACTTGCGTCGTGATAATCATCTGACTATTTTGTCCCGAACCATGGTTCAAATCGTGGAAATCCGATTACTTTTCCATCTCGTGGGGTACATATCTTTCAACGAAGAGTTGCTGTTCCGAGGTTAATATTGCAAGAGATGACGTGTAGTCCGGAACTCCGTCCAGTGTGCGCACACCTTGCTGCCACAAATACATTGTACTCACACATACTATGCTGCAGCAGGATTACAGCAGTACGTTGTACAGGGACACCAACTTTGAGAGACGGGTGACTTGAATGACTGCTACGATGCTGTCAGCGAACTAGGATGAATACGCACGCCTGTGTTGAGACTTTGTGTGTGGTTGGAATGTGTTTCAAGAGAGAGGCAGAGCGACACCACACAGACACAGCGAGATGCTATCTTCCTCTCTCTTCCGGCAGGGCGTCCAGCTGAAATATCGCATGCATGCATGAACAGGATGATGGACACATCATCCGACAACAACCGCTCGCTGCCAACACACAGCACACACACCAGACACGCACCCCCTAGCCACTCATGCCCCAGTTATTTAACCATGCACCTTTCAGTAGGGCACTCTCACGATCGATGGTTTTGATGACGGATGTCACCAAGCGGAGAAGAGCCTTTGGAAAGAAAAAACACAACAACAACCGACTATTGAGCGACAGCAGAGGATCGATGCATAACTGGATGAGAGATTCATGAAGCTGTGAATACTTGCGTGCGCGCAGTGTCCTGAAAGCTCTGGGGGTGCGGGTCTAGGTTTTGTGTCCGTCCTCTGCCGTTATTTGCCTCTGACCGAGATCGCCAGCTGCTATTACCTGGAGGGAGCTGCGGCTGATGGGTGGAGCCGTTGGGTTTTCAAGTCGAGATGCGGTTTTGCTGTGCTGGTGTGCTGTGGTAGTAGTAGAGGGTGTTGTAGACGAGGATTGATGCATCATCGGTGAAATATCTCAAGCAAGAGGACGGAGGGGTGGAACAGCCTGCCAGGTAGAAGCCATGCTGGCTTGCACGGCGGTAGTTGTTCGAGTAGTAGCAGTCGGGGTCCGTGCGGCATGGTTACACTCGTGCGAGCTGAACCTCCCTCCCGTCACGGACAGAGGTGCAAAAAACTCAAGATCCTTCCTGTATCAATATGTCATCGGGCCAACACACCCCATTGAATATATTTTCGGGAAGAAAGATCCAGCCGAAAATTCCCGGCCCATGGTTCGGGAATCTCCGCGCGGTATTTCGAACTCCAATTCTCGGAAATCCCGAGAATCCAGTCAAATAATCCAGGAATCTCGAGCTTGAAATATATCATGTGAGCATGAAATTTAGCGTGAGCTAGAAAGACAGACAAGCAGACGGACAGGTGGACGCCGAGAGAGACAGTGCGAGAGGTACCCAAATGTCGAGATGGTCGCATCGGATGAGTATTAGTTGAACTGCACAAGGGATGAAAATGGTGGTTAGTGAGGGCATGAAAATACTGCTTCTCAGAGCCCGAGAAATCGGAATGCAGGGCTGTCAGTGGCCCACGGAAATGAATGCAACGTTTCTAGAAATCGTAGCTGATACAACTGTTATGCGTGCACAACTCCGTTCAGCATTTCGTCGAGCCACTGCAAGTGGCTTCCCGGCGAACGAGGCACATTTGCTTCGGCAGAAACAGCAATACAACGCCGGAACACCCGTGGGTGCGTGAGCTCTTAAAGGCCCTCCCTGGGCACTAATCGCTCCCGAGAAATGAGACCCGCTGCACGTCGCACATGCAATTGCGGCGGAGCGACGTTTTCCTCCGTCTTGTCTCTCAACAATGGGAGAGGCTGCTGCTGTTGGCTCGTGAGATCTGTTCGTTTTGAGACTGACCGTCCGGTTGATTACACGCGGAAAGTGGACGTGTGCAAAGTTCGCGTGCGGGTCCCGGGAGGACTCATTTTAGTCACTAGCTTTGCGCTAAGACCTGTTGCCGTTTTTGGTTGATTCAGTGACGATGTCGAATACTCATGGGCATATCTGTGTCCGGACCCCCCGTTTTCTCCCGATTTCTCAGGACTTGCAAGAGTTGTCGGAGTGGGTGAACCCGGAGTACCTTGTGCCTGCGATGGTGGACCAATGTGCAGCCGCGTTCAACGAAAACGGGTCTACCATACAGCTCCACAGATTCCTCAAGGTACCTTTTCTCATCGGCCAAGCCTAAAGTTTGCTGTGAACTCGGGGAGACGCGGCATGACTTATTCCGTGGTTCATGCCGTCGGCTCGTGTGGCGTTGGCGTTTGGTCTCTGGAGGGGCACGTTTTTTGTTGTTTCCTTGGGTTTCCCGCCAGGTTCTTGGGCAGTATGTTGCCGAGTTCGATCATCATTCCCCGGGGCTTGCATTTTTTTTTTTGCGGTTGTTGGACGATCGATATTGGCTTACCATGTGTACAACGAGGTTCGGTTTCCAGGCCGTCTGTGCGTGGCGATGCAAACCAAGCCAACCACCGTTCATGAGCAAGACTCCCATGAGCTCTCGCTGCCCCGTACCCACCCCTCCTCCCTCCCCGCTCCATGCACATTCGGGATGCCCTCTTTGCCTTTCGCGTGCTTAACTCAACAAACGACGACGCCAACTACGACGACGTGAATGGCAGGACGATGTCGCGCAGAGTATCGTCGACGCCGCGATCGCGGCGGACCGACGCGACGGTCTCGGGTACATGGAGGCGTCGCCCTTCGACGCGGGGGTGCGGGGGGGTTGGAGGAAGGCGGGCCCGCCCCACCGACAACGGATGTTGCGCCTCTCCGCCGCCAAAGAGCCAGGTAATTGTTGGTGTTAGCGATGGGGCTTCGCAACGTGTTGTTGGCTGGTGATGTTGGTGGGATGCTGCTGTGTTGTTGTTGTTGTTTCTCACATTAGCTCTAAAAAAGAAAGATTGGGAGCCCGTGGTCTCAAAACCCGGCATACACGACCCCACGAAGAAACAGAAAAAAATAGGGTACAAAAACCACTCGGAAGAGAAACAAAATGATAGAAAGAAAGACCAGCTACCGCACCAAACGAGAAAGAGCGTCGAGGAGACCGATCAAAATAAAATAAAAGGAGAACGGGGAACGCTTCCCACACCCGCCTACAACGCCGGAGGGTTCCATGCCGGGTTCCCGCCGACCAGGCATCCCCCGCCCTGCACCACACCCCAGGGGGTGCAGCAAGACGGGGGGTGAAAAACAAACACACA